GATTTTCTCCGTCTGGACATTTATACGCAGATGGTCCAACGTCCTTGACTCATGGCCGTTTCTTTTATTATCTCTAATCAGGACTGAGGAAGAAAGGAGAGAGTCAGCAGTTAATATACTTCCAGTTCTCCCACTCATGAGTGCCCTGACCCGACCGCTCAATCCGATCAGCACAAACTAGCCGCCGGCGCTTCATTATCTCAAGGAGCTCCACGCTGCCGCCTTGAAGTTTTGCGGGGGTGTAGGAAGCAACGAGCAGACTTTGTTTTTGTATTATCCCACTCATAATTAAAGTCTAAACATCCTCTGCAGTGTAGGTGTGTAACTGTGTATGATTGTTGAACTTTGTGCACAATACTTCACTGATTGGGGTTGAATGGTAGGGGTTTAAAAGCACACATTGTTTCGACAGAAGTCCTTACAGTGCTAACAGGTAGTGGCTGTACATAGATATGGTTTCCCCCCTGTGGGTCTTGCAAGGGCATGGCATTTTGCATGTTTTTTAAAGCCCAGACATCGACATTTCTACACCATGTCGATACAACTTGCATATCTCTTATGCTTACGGAAGCCCTGAGAGGTGAGTGAGGAAATCAAACTTTTCTAAGTCTAATCCTATAACTTCTTCATTTGTGAAGGTCATTTTTTTGTCATTGTCTGTTGTTGTAATACTGTATTTGGCCAAAAGAAGCTGAAGTGCACCACCCTACAGACGCTATCCAGAACATAATTTGTATTTCATCCATTATTAATCCATTATCATTATGATGGCAATGCATGTGTCCCAGTTTCCTCTTTTGCAGGTACGATTAATACACAGGTTTCCAATTTTCAAGAGTTGTCTCTAGCTCTGTCTGCAGGGTCTGGTAAAAACTGTCTGCTCTCTTTATCTGTTCCCATCCTTTGGCCCCATTTATACACCGCTGTGCATCGAATCACCGCCACCAAGTGGTCAAAACAATACTGCAAGACAGATCTAAAGGAAATTAAAGGCCATTCCAACAATGAAACTAAATTAAATCCTCATTATTGAAGTTATTGGATTTGCTTTATCCAAATGTTTTTATTATATGTCGTGACCTTAATATGTTCTATGAATGCGTCACTAGCATATGGTAATCGCCCTCTTTCTTACTGGACTTTACAGACCTTTTCGGGACTTGCTCTAAACTCAACAACTGCTCCCCTAAGAGTACTCCTATTCCATCCCCCAAGATACATACAAATGTGTGATCGTTTTTTGACATGACCTTCTTCCAGCTAGAAATGTAATTCTATTCAGCTCTAATCTGCTGTTTAGGCAATCATGATTTATTTCCAAACCCTTTAATTCACCTGTTCTGAAATCGCAGGAGATTAACAACTAGCCTATATAGACCAGAGTTAGAAAATGGATCGCCAGATATTTTTGCTCTAACTTCCTTCAGGGTTTCCATACCTCAGAAAACAAAGCATTCAACATTTGTCTCGAGGCCTTCATAACACTGCGTATACAGTCTGAGGGGAAACCAATACAAAGTGGAATGCTGAAGTCGGCATCTCAAAATTGTGAAAACAAAAGAAGAGCTGCAAGGACAACTACAGAGAGAGGTACGTCTTGTACTTGAAATGAAAACCTTTTGATAACTACAACCACGTTCATCCTATCAAGGTCCTGAGAAAACGGCTAGACTGGTAGGTCTCTCATGTCTGAGGGTCACTACCATTACTGTTGCTCTTTTGGGACTAAAGAGGCTCCATTAATCACACTGATGACTCTCAGGATGATTTGAGAAGTTAATAAATGTGAATAAAATTACTTCTCGGAGGGGGAAAAGGCTTCATTTGTAATGTACAGTACAAAAGGTAGATTTTTTTCCATCAACAGCGATCAGACCAAACCCTGGTTAGCCGGTAATTGCCTGAGTTTCTCTGGGCAAGGTCGGAGTCTTTTGTCCTTTGTTGGACCCGAGCCAGCTGTTCTACTTCTGCTGATTTGAAAAGTACAAAACCCTGAAGCTGTCTCATGTTACCGTGCTATGAGCGTTTGATTGGTTGGCTCACTGAGGTCTGTAGAGCTCATCTGACTGTGCAGGATAGATTGTCATTACTCTCTGACGGATACAAATGATTTGTGTACACAGATTTATACCTTACAAAGGAGCAACTACACTAGACTATAAAACACTGAGTTTACAGCTTAATGCTAACAGGTTGCAACTGAGGATTCTTTCACTGTCTGGTGTCTGGGAAGATATCTGCGGATCATATACAAACAGCAAGTTAGCAGAGTAGGGAAATAGTCCCTGCAATTTCATGCTTTTAAGGGGTTTAACTTGATGGCAAAAACTGCAACTATAATGTCTTATATTTAGCCTATTTTAGAGTTGATCTGTAGAAAAAAGAGGAGAAGTCTATAAAGGGAGACTATTACATCTAATATTAAAAACTACCAGTGATGGGAAGTTTGAACTTTTTAAATGTAATAGGTTACAGTTGACATGTTAAAGTGTAATAGGTAGGGTTAGTATTTTAATGACTTACTTAAAAGTTATACAACTTCACATTTAGTTACTTTTCTAACAAATGTTTGAAACAGAATCAAACATTTGGTTCTATATTGGCAGGGTGTGTGTGCTTCTGTCTTTTAATAGTGACACCACCACATGAAATCTAAGACACATGCGCCATCTAGTGGAGGTTTTATGATACTACAACATCATGACCATTTCTCAATAAAAAAGCACCCAAATAGGACTGGACTGAAGTTACTTTGGTTTATTTTGTGACTTTCTAGATTTAGTTTTAACATGTACAAGTACTTTGATATATTACATGTTTATGTTCTAATACACATGTTTACATAAGTGGATGAAGTACTCCAATATTTCACAACAGTTTAAAATTACGTGAATAAACAAGTTTACATTTTGAGTGTGTGTTGTTTTAGCTCATTTATTTATCAACTCACTTCACCATTCTTCCATTGCTGTTTTGCAATGTCTGCCAAAAAAAGAACGACTTGAGACATGCACAGTCTCTGTCAGACATGCTTAAATATGTTGTTAGGGCTTCAGGCATTTGGCAAACATAGTTTTAGAAAAAAACACTTATGGATGAACATGTTAAAAAGCTGGTTTGAATAACATGTAACATTTAATAAATGGTTTACTTGAGCCGTAATGTAATAATATGTGGTTGATTGTAAGACTAATTCCTGCAGGAATCTTCAAGTGCCAACTCCACAACAAATGGCTCAAAAAGTATTATATGCTAGAAGTTGTCTTGGTCTTTATGGATTAGCCTTTCAAACTTTAAAATGAAATGTGTTTTTCATCTGATAAAACAGAAAGGTCAGAAAAGGGCTAACTCACCTAAAGTCCTGGTTATGTGTTGATACATTTACAACTTTGTAAATTGGCGGCCTCTAAAGGCAACAGAGGGAACTACACCATATTCAGATATCACGTGACTCAAGGGGAAGTTTATAATACTGAATACTAACAATGCAAGAGATGCACACAGTTTAATCCATTGAAATGTAATTGACAAATATGTATATTAATGTAGGTAATATGTTAAAACCTTTACTTAATTCAAAAAATATATTTTACGTTTCCTTTTATTGATTTTATAAATACAGATGTTGGTATAATAGGTTTGCAATCATCTGGTGGCTATAGTTACTTTAAAGACAAGTGGCTCATTTGTTATTCATTCTTCCATTTGGTTTGGGAGAACTGTTCCTTTATCTCTTCATGCCAGCACTACTGAAACGTACCAAAAGAGGGCATCAGTTCATCAGACATGAAGGGCTACAGGAGAAAGGCATGATATATGATGATATATTTTAAAGTGTTCTATTTAAGTTAATTATCATTACTCTCATAAGTGTAATTTAAAAACATAATATTGAGGGGAGGCAGTAGCCAGCAACACACAGATTGTAGATCAATTTGTGTGAAGCTGCATTTATCTGTTATGTGCAATACACACATAATTTCTCTAGATGTTATCGGTGTCTGTTACTGACTCTTGTTTTAATACCTTTATATGTTCACCTACTTGTATAATGTTGCTAATGTTTTAACATGGATGTGTACTTGTTTTTATGTTTAAACTTGTTATGCCTCTAATGTTAGTCAACCCAATTGTTTTAATATATGTTTTCCTTTTATCTGCCTTGTACATTTCCCTGCTGTGAGACAAATAAAGGATTTCTGATTAAGCATACAGCAGGGGGCGCTGTGCACCGTGTTTTCAGTTGATAGCAAAAGCACTGCAGGAAAAAGAAAGAAAGAAGTGAAACACTGTTTTAATTACAAGCTTAACCTTTTTTCCCAAGCTAAAACGATCCTTAGAAATCAACAACATGAAACTCAATAGTGCAACGATTTCACCTTCAATATCGCGTGCTGTTCAGAGGTGCATTGTCATGTTCTAACAGTGTATTTCTGAATTTGCATTTTCACACACAACACGTACAGTGCGGAGGAATTCACCCGAGGGCTCCGTGAGATGAGCGACTCCTTTACCTATCTCTCCCATCTCTTTCACGTACAGTTCACTGTCCGCCAACTCCTTTGAATGACAATACGAGTTTGTGGGAGTCTGGCTGGCAGCTTTTCAATGGGTTGAATAAAGTGTGATCTCTAGGCACTGTTAAGAAAACATTGCATAAAACATTAAGGAGACGGTCTGGCTGCGGGATTAAAGCTTTAGAGAGGCTAATATGTTGCCAGCCTGTAGCATGATTGTGAGAACTAATGGACATGTTGCGTTTCTCACAGACAGTCCCTGAAGGCCTAACATGTTCAACCAGTGAACAGGTAAATGCAAATGTAAAGAGAAAAAAAAAAAACTAGGTATGCGTGCATGCATGCGCTCTTGGCTGAAGGCTTGGTTTTACCACGACTTCGCCCGGAGCACAAGAGAAGAGAAAGGGGGGGTGGGGGGTCTAGTGGAGCCAATGGGAAGGCAGCTTCCAGCTCAGCTCTCTATAACTCTGTGTCACAGCAGAGGAGCGATGCCACAACTAAGTTACTTCAGCAGGGAGGGTTTCACTGGACTATCAGCTCTCTAAAGCCAATTCTTTATTGCGTTTTTTTTTGCTTTACGCACAAACAAAAATCCCCGAGTGGACTTTCTTTTCTCTTGGAGGGGCTGCTTTCAACATGAGCGCCGGACAGACGTATGAGAAGAAGATTGCGAGTATTTTGACCGATCTACCCGGATCTATGAGCTGCCACCCGAGCTCCAAGGACTCTCCTACTCTCCCTGAGTCTTCGGTGACGGACATGGGCTACTACAGCGGACAGACGGCGCCCAGCCACCACGAATACTATCAGAGCCAAGCGTACGGACAGCAAATGAACTCTTACCACCATCAGTTTAACCTGAACGGAATGGGAGCTGCTGGAGCGTACGCGACCAAATCTGAATACCCCTACACAAACAGCTACAGACAGTTCGGACATTACAACAGAGATCACCTGCAGGCATCACCTCCTTGCTCAGGTAAATATTGAGACATGCTTTATCTGTTTTAATGAGATGGTGTCTGCCTCCAAAGTGCGTACTGTAATCTGCTCTGTCACTTGTTGGTATGAGAAAGCCTTTCTAAAGAGCCCTGAATGCCTCTGAAACAACACTGAAAAAACTTTTTTTGTATCTTTATGTATTTATCTATTATCAATTAAAAATGTCCCTTTAGTTCTGAAAAATATGTATAGCAAAGTAGAGATATTAAAAATGCAGTTCTGCTTCAAGTCAACATTTTATTTGCCTTTCATGTCCCCATCAATTCTACATCTCAAGGCCCATGACATATTCACTTGGCACATATCCTTAATTTATTATCTTTTGCAGGTACACAACTAACATTTGTTTAGTCAAGCTTATGTTAATGTCGTGTGCCTGTGAATGAGCCACCCAATAACATCACTGCAATAAAACAATGATGGTTTGAATAAAGCTAATTATATTCACTCCTTCAGTTGTATTACCAATTGCTTGACAAATTGAAATTTGTCATAATACAATTATCTTGTCTGATTTAAGTTTGGATTTTTGTCCTGTGGCACTTATAAGTTGCCATACATATATCATTTTTGACACAATATTTCAAAAAGTATCTTGTAAACATTTTTGCCGTTATGGTTTTGCTTTTACTTTGTTATGCTTAGAGTTTTACACTTTATGTCTGTTTTGATGGTTTATTTAAATCAACATATTCTTCTGCAATTTCTAGTAAAAGAAGAGCCAGAGCCCGAGGTCCGCATGGTGAATGGAAAACCGAAAAAGATCCGCAAGCCGAGGACGATCTACTCCAGCTACCAGCTCGCGGCTCTGCAGAGGCGCTTCCAGAAGGCGCAGTACCTCGCGCTGCCCGAGCGCGCGGAGCTGGCGGCGCAGCTCGGCCTTACTCAGACTCAGGTAAGCAGAAACACCTGATATTTTCTAATTCACCAATACTCGTTATACATGCGAGTTATGGCTTCCCAAATATGGCTAACAATTTGTTCTCTAATTAGCCATCGCTGCGTAATTACGCACAGAATACAGAGCTTAATACTTTATGGATAGAAATGAAATGAAATAGCTGAATGTTCTCTACAAAACTATTATTTAAATGTATGGTAGGCTACCATATATTTTAAAAACCTATGATTATACTTATTTTACATAACATTGTACACTTCAATACCGTATAATAAATGCCTATGGTAGTAATTCGGGGTTAGTTATTTTACCCAAGGACATTTTGACATGCTGGGATCGAACTTCTGACCAAATTATTGGTCTATTTTACCCCGTACACCTGCATTTTAAACCCCTTTTTCATTTAAATGTCCAGTTGCATTATAATTAATGTTCCCCCTCTTACTTTCGCAGGTCAAGATCTGGTTCCAGAACAGGAGATCCAAGTTCAAGAAGCTGTACAAGAACGGTGAGGTTCCCCTGGACCACAGTCCCGACGCCAGCGACTCCATGGCCTGCAACTCCCCTCAGTCCCCCGCAGTGTGGGACAACAGCACCCCCCAGAGCACCCCGATCAGCAGACCTCAGGTCCAGCCGCCGACGCACAGCTCGTCTCCGCCATACCTGGAGGATTATAACAACCACTGGTACCAGCAGGGATCCCACCTACAACATCCGGGCACCGTGCACCACCCCGTCCCGCAGCAAAGCGTGGGGGCCGTTTACTAACAAAGACTCAGGAGCACATTTATCTCCTCACACTCTCTCCTAAAGACTCTCTAGAGCGAACTGGACCGGGAGCAGGCCTGAAGAGAAACTGTTTTTGGATGATCAAAAATGTTTCAGAACTGGGTTTACATTCAGAAAGCACATAAGGGATTTCTGATCACTTGTGGTAGCATTTTAACGGACATCTGGCGTGGTTTTTTTAATTATTAAATTATTTATCGCTTCTGTTGTATTTTCTTTCACTCCTTTTGTAAATGAATATGCATTTTTTTTTAAATAATTAGCCTAACCACAAAGCGAATATTGACAAAACCGTGCAGGTGATCCATGCTGCGTTCAAGTCATGTGTGTTTGTAAAGAGCGCGTACAAAGAGAACTCAGGTCATATTTATATGGATTTGTACAAAACGTCGAAGGTTGTAAATATGTGTTTATATGCAGAAACCACTATGATGATATTTGTTTGAAACGGAACGACTGCACTGTGGTGCCTCCATTCTCATGCTCATGTAATTAGTCCACGTGTTGCCTTCTTGTCAATTGAATAAAGATGTTAATTGCACGGTGTGTGTCGAGCCCCTTTATAAACAGATGATTTAAAGATTCAGGACAGATAATCAAATGTCGAGTTATTCTAAACAATGCAAAGAAAGCCAAGAAAATGTGAAGTAATTTCTCCTTTTTAGCAATATATTATTAATATTAAATATATAACTTTGAATTACTTAGTTTAAAAGATGATTGCAATGCAAGAAGGGTTTATTCAGAATGTTGCTTATTATCAAAAACACTTACACACTTTTACAACGTGTATAATAACTATTTAAATTATAATGCAGAAGAACAAATAACATGTTTGTTCCATATGGCAGGAGATTATAGTGGCAGTGTTGAAAGATGTTGTATACATGCCTAGAATTAGGATTTATCCTGATTTAACGATAATTAATTTAAGTTGTTTTACAGAATTAATGCTAAAAACCAAACACTTGCATGAAAAAAAGCGAATCTTGATTATTATTTTTTTATATATAGTATACATTTTATTCTGCAATTGTTGCAGCATGAGAGCTGCGTGCAAAGCGCTGCAGTAGGAGGCGACACACCAGCAGACATGTTGGAGTCACTCTGTTTTATTACACACACACACACACACACACACACACACACACACACACACACACACACACACACACACACACACACACACACACACACACACACACACACACACACACACACACACACACACAGAGAGAGAGAGAGAGAGAGAGAGAGAGAGAGAGGGGGGGGTGCTAAAGGCGGGGGATAAGCAAGACCGTTGCCGAAGGGGATCTCGCTCACACGCACGCAAACAGCAGGATGGATAGAAACGCTGCCAAATATCGACGCTGTAAGAAAACACCACAACCCTCTTTCATTTTCTGAGTGCTTCACCTCAGACAGTAGATCTCATGTTGTTGGATTTGGCAAAGCAGTCATAAAAAGTGATCTGCTGTTAAAGGGGTTTATTTTTTAAATAAAACTGGGGTCAGGGTCAGGGGTCGTTCATGTCATGACTTATTTTGTTTACAATATTTAAAGTGTTTAAAAAACAATAACATTGAAAAGAAGAGGGTTAAACAAAAGGTGCTCCAGGGTGATAAACAGCCTAATTAGATTACATGAGACACCTTGGGAATACACTGATATTAATGAAGTGAGAGGTGTTGGATAAACAGGACAACTACACTTTAATAATGAGACAGTCACAGTCTCTTTAAAACAAATCACAACCGTAATGACAGTAGACAATAACCGCACACAGCCTGCATTATTAAATATGCTGCACTAACAGTTACATGATGGAGAAAACCGCTAATGGCGATCTTATCCACATGGACCACCAAGGCGCCATTACACACCGAGAGAAAATGTGCCCACGGTTTATAGGCCGACCTTTTCTACTGCTTTTAGTAACTACAAAGGTATGTGCTCGTGACTGGAGGTGTTACTGTGTCACTGCAATAAGAGCAATTCAAATGTGGATTTAGACCCACATATATAGCCATCAACGTTTAGAGTGTGACTTGCGTTTTATTTTCCCCCAATAGGATATTTTTGGGTTGACTTTTTAAGGAATAAACATTATGGAAAAAGCCCTATTACTCGAATGATTATCAAATCTTTGTCCAATGAAGTTCGGGATATATTTGTACAAATTAAATGAATTTGCATCTTTTTTGTAGACTTACATGATGAAATAAATCATATGATTAAGATATATATTTAAATGATTAAATAATTAATTTAGGCAAATATTTGGTAATCTTGAGCCTGCCTTGTGCCGTTTTATTTTTATAATTATTTCACATGAGCACATATGACTGAAACACGAAGTAAAATACCAAGCCAAAACACGTTTTAAGGATGTTCAGTTATTGGGAGTTATAACACTCTACAATCCATATTAATTGATATAAACTAATACTTTATTTATACATAATTTATTTTAAGATTAATTCATTTGGACGAAGAATAAAATTCACAATTTTATATTCTTATTTAATTGCATATCTTCGTCCCTTTGACATCTGTGACATATTTATTGTAAAAAGCACTGTACACATTTTCTACCAAACCTCACACACATTCTTTCAACATTTACCAGAAAAGAATTCGCATTCCCCAATGTCCCTGCTTTACTTTGTTCCCCTGAACTCAACACCAGTTGTCTACAGCATCACTCACCATCTCAGTGCACTGTGCTGATTTGACAAAGGCACCATGAGTACTATTGCCTTTTAATATCAATGAAATCTCATCAAGAGTACATGTGACCTCCCCTCGGGGGCCCCTCAGCGTGTGTGGCCCCTGAGCCGAGGTTGTCAGGGGAAACATTTGTGCCGAAGACAAACGTGTGTTCGCTACAGGCTGCACTTGTGTGTGTGGGCTTGTCAGGCGTGTCCATATATGTCATCTCTGAACATTAACAAGTGTAAGTAGCCATCGAGGTGGTGCTGAACTGTTGAACTTGAATGCGATCCTGCGTGGCACAACATCACAGCTCCCTAAATAGAGCCGGGGCCCGGGCCCTTCGTCCTTCTCCCCTGCAACGGTCAACAGAGTGTCGGCACTTGTCTCTGGGGGTGCAGCGATATGGGTTGAGATGGAGGTCGGGGGCTGAAATGCGTCCACAGAAAGACTCGCAGCAGCTGTCCAACACTGAGCCCGAGCCCGGGCCCGGGCCGTGCCTCGGCTGCATTAGGATCACTCACTCTCTCCATTTCCATGTAAACTGGGATGAAATGACGGGAGAATGGCATCCTTGACAGCTGTGGACTCGTGAACCTTTGCTGACCTGAGGCCAGGGCCGGCACTGTGCTGATACTCATCCCATCCTGATAAAACCATCCCCAAAGTTAGGGTTCAGTCACCTTGACCTAAGCTAAAAATGTTGCCTCCAGACATGAGTTTCACAAAAGACATCTGACTTTTTAAACTGTTAAACGAACAGAAGGGCGCTCAGGAAGCACAGACCTTAACCAAGAGTTCCATGAGTGATAAATGATCCACGTATCAAAACCATGACTCAGATATACTCCAACTTTGTATGGGTTTTACGTGGGATCATGCTACAGGCCAGTATTATGTCTGAAATCCTCTTGACAAACAGGCAAACAAACCCAACTGAAAACAGTTCCTCCATGGCTGAGATAATAAACAAAAAGAAGGGCGCTCTGGAAGCCAAGACATCAACCAAGACTTCCATGGGTGAAAAATGATCCGTGTATCCAAACCAAAAAAAAAATCAGGTCAGTATTTTGTTGAAAAACACACAAACAAACCCAACTGAAAGCATGACATCCATTCTGACATTGTAAATAAAAAGAGCTTTCCTCCAATTGTTTGTGTGCGTATCATCTTAAATCTGTGTTTGTGTGCTTGCCTTTCTGCTTGCCAAACTGCACAACCCCCCCCCCCAGAGTGTGTGTGCATCATGCCTCAAACTAAGTTAAGCCTTCCTTCAGATGAAACCAAATCATGCATTCAACCTCTCTAACAGGGGAGCTGCTCACAATTACCCAAGATGTCAGATCACTCGAGTTAATAACAATAATCACCCCTGAGACCTGCTCTGCCATTGGTCGATTCAAAGCAACTGGGAATTAATTACCAGCAATGTTCCCTCTTATTGCTATCCTGGAATTAAAACCCATCAGACACCTCGTATCTGATCACCCCACCGACCGCAGCATTGATACAATCACACTCGCCTTCATCATTACCCTTCACCCATCCCACAGCCTTGTCTATTAAACCAGGAGCCTAGTCACTTTCCCTTCAATCCGCCTGCGTGATAATTGGCCTCCGTTTGAAAGGTCTTACTCTGTCTGTCCAACTCCACAACCCATTATTCTAATCTGGAGATGTGAAATTGCCTATAATTTCCCCTGATGCCCCGTCACTTGCCTCTTCTTCCCCCGGCCCGCTTGTCTAACAAGGCACATAATGATCAGGAATGGGGAAAAAGGGCACGAGGGTGTATGTGTATATAAAGAAGGAGATGTTAATGTAACACATTGCTTGCCGTTATGTAAGAAAACCAGCTCCAAGGAGAGAAAACACACGGCTCTGATGTGGCTTTTGTTCTTCAGAGAAACACACAGCTGGTGTTGGAGCTCCTGAACAAGGCTGCACCTCTCTAAGGTAAGACAGGACTGTGTGTGTATGTGTATGTGTATGTGTATGTGTGTGTGTGTGTGTGTGTGTGTGTGTGTGTGTGTGTGTGTGTGTGTGTGTGTGTGTGTGTGTGTGTGTGTGTGTGTGTGTGTGTGTGTGTGTGTGTGTGTGTGTGTTAAAGCTAACACAATTCTCTGTAAGTTTCACTGTCCTTTCTACGAGGACAAGACAAGTACTTCACAGTAAAACTACCTTCATTTATGTTGATTCGTTTTTGCTGGATGACTATATAAAAAGTACATTTTTGCTTTATGGAGTCGTCCTTTTTTACCTCTTGCTTGGGAGAGGAAGGATTACCAAGTTATTTAATGCAAAGCAATAAAATAACGTGTGACTTTGCAATTAATTGAAATCTTTGACCACTGGAAACATATTTTTGGTGCCTTGTAAACCGCAAGGGCTGGGTACAAGGCATGAGGATAAAGAAATCATTTGATCACTACGAGATAATTGATTGAGATTAAAAATGTAAGAAACACTGTCACAGATTGGATGTCATGGCCCTTTAAATGACACCCCGCTACACCTGTAATACAAATATTCTGTATTTTAAAAAGATTCACAGTTTTATAAGTAATATAAGGAAAGGATATCTCCCTAACAACAGCGTGCATGATTGTTTGGTTATTGCTGTAATCCCTGTGTGGGTGACATCAGATTGTACTTAATGTCTGCCAGACATGCAGCTAACAGAGCAGAGTGATGAATGGTGAAGACAAAAATAAGTCACTGGATGTTTCTTTATCCACTATCCGACTTCATTAATCACAAATCTGCTCCTCATTCAATCTGTGGCACCAGACAGGATTCATGCAGTGTTTGCAGACATATAAACAGATA